GGGGGTACTTTCTGGGATCAATTTAATGGGGGGGGGGGGGGGGGGGGTTGGGACAGCAGCGGGAGCCAGAAGCGAGGAGAGAGGAAGCTTGCCCACTGGTCTAAGAGCGGCAGGAAGCGCTGGAGGTGGTGCACGGTGCTGGGTGGCCGCCCCCCTACTCCTGCGGCTCTGATGTAAGTGTGCTGGGTGATCTATTGTATGCTACAGGGACACAAAGTGAGTAGATGTTGGTGATGCAGTCCGGCTGCCCACAGACAGGTCTGTACCTTTCAGGAAGACACTAAATGTCCTTGGTGGAGGACTCATCGTATCAGCAGGAGGGACCGCCATAAACACTGCCACCATCACAGAGAGCACACAGCACCCCCCACCACACACAAACACACACACACACGGTCTGAAACGGCCAGGAGTCAAGCGGCCAGTCTGCACGTAGCTTAGAAAAGAGACACCACGGAGCTGTACGCCCCCTCCCCCCAGCAGTGTGTTAATGAGGCGTAGGAGACAGACTGACGACTCAGTCAAAACCAAAAGGGGAGTAGACGTGTGAATTTGAACTGACCGTTTACCGGGTTACCATCAGTTGCCCCCCCCCTCCAACTTGTGCACGCTATTCATGTTATGCGTATTCTGAACACGATGTTTTCGGTTGGAAGTTGCTTAATTGGCATGACGAAGTGATGCCAAAGCAGTTGGCGGTGCTTAAAAATACTGCGCTGGGGGCCGTACAGTATGTGCATGCGTTGCCAAGGGAAACTGGCGTCCCGAGCCGCACTCAGTCCCCGTTTCCGAGCGGGGTCGCTGCGAAACGCCCGCACCGGGCTGCGCGTCCGCCCCAGGTGCGTCCACCCGGACGGTGCTGCAGAAGGCGCCGCCGACACGCACCGAGCTCGCAGACACCTGCTACGCGCATAGCATGTCTTATTCTGATGGCCTGTTTCTGCATTTGGTCAAATCAGAATAATAATTAAAAAAAAAAAAAAAGAGAAGAGAAACAATTGTGACTGTGGGCTATAGCGGTTTTTCGCATGGCGCGCTGCACCTGAGTCCAAAGTGAAGACGGAAGGAGACTCCGGGGCATCGTCGGTGCGTTAATGTCCGAGAGACGGGCGCCGTGCGGCGTCTTTAAATACCTCAGCAAGTATGCATAATGATTATCTTAGTGCGTACTGCTGCATCGGAGAATGTGTGTCCATTCAGCCCAAGTGCTGTGCGAATCGGCGTAAAAGCGCAGCTTAGGATGGAGGTCTAGCTGCTGCATCTCCCCTTTCCGGCGCGCCCCCGTGCACAGCGTGCGCGCGTATGCTGTCTGAGAAAATACTTTTTCTATTCCGTGTGTGAGGTAATGACCTCTTTTGTTGCAGCCTTGAATATCTTTTACTGGGCATATATATGATTATTTTCATTTACCTGTACTTATTTCTCTTCCTCTCAATTCATTTTTTATCTGACTTTCTTCACCAATTAATAGAAGGTCGGGAGAGAGCGCCATGCTCAGAGTCTTGCGACAGGGTGAATCAATTTGAACGAGAGAGAGAGGGAGGGAGAGAGAGGGAGGGGTAGAAAGGGAAGAGCGAGGGAGAAGGAGAAAGACAGGGGGAGAAAGACATCGAATCAGTGCCGCAGCTGTTGAAGGAATATAGGTGAAAACGAAGGTAGGCAAAGCGGGGAGGGTCTAATGAGGATGAGGATGCTTGATTGTATGGAAATATTCAGCGTGTGTAATTTTCATGATTAACATGACGTGTATATGTAAGGATACGGCATGTGGAAATGTCTATGCGTGTAATACTGCCAGCCGCAGAAGGGATGTTTATAAGGACAGACACGGTTTTCAATGGAAAGATTGTTCGGACAGGCGTTTGAACAGAATTAATGCGGCAGTGTGCGCGCGCGCACGTGTGTGTGTGTGTGTGTGTGTGAGAGAGAGAGAGAGACAGAGAGAGAGAGAGACAGAGAGAGAGAGAGAGAGAACAAGAGTGGGAAAGAGCGCCTGCGCGTGTCTGTTTATTTGTGTGTGCGTGTCCCTCTGGGTGTGCGCGCTCAGCGGCGCGCACTGTGTGTGGGTGTTAAGATAATGAATTTTTGTTGCTAGGTTATGCTTTACCGGGTCGTAAAAAGATGGTAAGTGTGGATATTGTGCAAGAGAATACGTTTTGTGAATAGTTGGATAGGTGGATTAATCTACGCAGCTTTCATTTGATTTTAAAATGTCGTTTCAAAGTATTTATCGCTGCGATTGTTCGTCTTTACCCAATGAAAGCAGTTAATGGATGTTTATAATAAATGTTTTCTGTTTACGGTATTCATGACTAACATTTATGCTTAACGTAAAACTTAGATTATTTTTTAAAATTTTGCCAATGTCCGTGGCGTTTCGGAGGCGGGTGTAGGATGTTGTGTCCTTACAGTCATTATCCAGTGTTAATCCCTAATTTTGTGGGCTTTACTGATCTATTTTTTTGTGCTCTGAGTGGTTCCCAGTTGCGGTTTCACAGCTTGTAGCGCACAGATCAGCTTCTGTTTTGGAAGATGGCTGTGTTCCCTTCGTGAAAACCCGCAGATTGCTTCGTGGGTTTGACGAACCCCGTCTTTTTCCAACATTATCAGACTGTTACATATTACTGAATTGCAACAGATGTTTTTTTTTTTTTTTTTACTTCATTGCTACTTATCGTGCCTCTATGATATGTATATTGTCTGGTGACGCTATTACAGTGGAACAGCTAATAATACAAACTATCTTCATATTTTTTTTTATCATTTTGGGAAGTGTATATATGGAACCCTTGAATAGTAAGAGCAAGACAGGAGTGTAATGAGGATGGAGTGTACAGTTGTGTGTTGCAGTGTACAGTAATGGATGGGATAGATAGATAGATAGATAGATAGATAGATAGATAGATAGATAGATAGATAGATAGATAGATAGATAGATTCGAGTTTTATTGATCTCTAAGGGAAAGTCATTGAAGTCAGAGTGTACAGTAGTGCTTTGGATTGAGTAGATTTAGTTTGAAGATGTAGATAATGTGGATAAAGAGACAGGGCTATTTGGGCAAGTTCTGCTGGTAGAACGGTAAGGGAAGGCTTAGTAAGGAGAACTGTGGGGCGTTTGGATTGATGTGTGTCAATGCAAAATGCCTGTCATTTTGTATCAGTAAATTGAGGGGAAAGTTTGAAATAAATTTATGGTAAATTGCTCTAAAATATAATCCTGCCACAGTCTCACTAAGGTCAGCGGTTAGTTATTGTCAGTGGTTGGCATACAGTAAAACTGGAACAAAGACAACTGATGCAACAAAGGAGCAGAGACATTCGCTTACTGAGACCCGACATTCTCCTGGGGTTTGGTCTCAAAACAAATACAGCAACAGCTCCTCTGCTGCAGGACTGCTGCTCAGGCACTGCTAACTGGCAGTGAGTTAGCTTTCGGAAGGAGCAGTGAGTGCATGCGGCCGCCATGCAGTGCAGTTCTTAACCTTTAACATCCTTCTCAAGTGTCTTGAATATTTTTGATGTAGTTGTACAAACCTACTAATTGTAGTAATTTATTTGGTGACAGTACACAATGAGGCCATGTCCATATTCTTTTAAACACACAGTCAATGGTCAAAATGCATAGTTAAGTCTTTTTCTTTTGTAGAGTAATGAGGTTGGAGTGTAGTGGCTTGTGTTACAGTGTACAGTGGGTTGCAGTGTACACTTATGTAGCATTGTAGAGTAATGAGGATGTAAGTGTAGTATTTTGTGTCGCAGTGTGATTTGGTGTCTTTTCAGTGTCTTACTGACCAGACAATGCAGAGCCCTGAGTTCACACCCAGGCCTCTTTAATGTAGAGAGACTGTGCCCCGAGCCACATGGATGTGGTGATGTGCCTCACAGGGCTCTAACCACCAGCTTCTCAGTAGCCTCTCATGGCACCAAAGATCCTGGCTGAAGTTCTGCTTGTGGTTCCTGGCTGTTATTGATCTTCTTCCCACAATGAGCAGACTCAGAGAGAGCCGGGCAGCTCACAGCGCTGCAAACGCTGGGCCATGACGTCCCCTGGGTCCCAATGGTGCCAGGCGTGATGCGTTTCCTGGGCCTCAGAATGAATGACTGCACGGTGGGGGAAAGGAAGGCAGTCTATGTTTGTGCAGGTCCCAGGTTCGAGAGGAGACCTCCCCACGTCGTACAATTTGTCTCATGACCTCGAGAGGGCAGGCAGTTTTGGTACCGGAGTCATTCCATCAGCACCAAATATTCCGGCCAGTTCTTCAAACGTAGCTGCTCCCAGTTACAGCTTATTGTAGGACTGCCCCCCAAAGTGGGGACAGGAAGTGGCAGTAGCAAATGAGAGAATGAAAACAGTGGCTTGAGGAGGCGGTGCACTATGGAGAGGCCTTGAGGGGTTTCCTGTAAGGGGGCACCCCCCCCTCCCGGATTCCCGCCTCCCTCACTGAAGCTGCCCTTACCTGCCAGCTCTGCTCCGCTCCTGCAATGCAGCCAGGGATTTATATGAGTCAGTCTCTCAGTCATCAGTGCAGGTTCGTGTTTCTATGATGTGAAGCCCCACCATGTAGCAAACAGGGCATTACCCACCATGTCAGTGGGCATTACCCATCATGCCATGGGGCATTACCCACCATGAAGAGGTGTTACCCCCTATGCCATGGGACATTACCCACAATGCCACTGGACATAATTCACCCTGACAGGGTGTTACCCACCATGAAGAGGTGTTACCCACCATGCCATTGGGCATTATTCACCCTGATGATGTGTTATGCACCATCATGCTATGAGGTTTTACCCACCATGCCATTGAGCAGCATTCACCCTAATGGAGCATTACCCACCATGGCATGGGGTATTATTCACCTTGATGGGGCATTACCCACCATGCCACTGGGCATTTATCGTGATGGGGCATTGCCCATCATGCCATGTGGCATTACCCACCACGATGGGATGTTACCTACGATGCCATGGGGCATCGCACTACCCATAATGCCCAGGAACTAACGCCATTCTGTAGCCAGACTCCCCCCTTGACTGGGGCAGGGTTTGTAATGACTGCGTGTCCTGGATGTACTGTAACACATAAGCACCTCCCCAGGGAATGTGTTCAGCACTTGGCAGCAGAGATATTAATAAAATAGCAGACGGGGGAGTTTTGCGGTGTGCCCTTGGGCGTGTGGAGCTGGTACAGCACCCTCACAGGGCCGCTCTCTGTTATGGTTCCAGTGCCTGTTCAGACAGAGAGGAAGAGCAGCACTCCCTAGGGAGGCGGGGGCTTAGCTTATGCTCCCTCACGGGGGTGCCCACCCCCAGTGCCGAAGCGGCCCCATTCCGCGAGCTCCAGGGCTGGCCGCAAGCGAGCAGCTGGGAGCACGCAGCATGGTGGCTGAACCTGTTACTATGGCAACCAGGTCTGCCGCTCCACGGCGCGCAGGGGTAGTGGCGACCTGTTGAACAGAGCAGCTGCGAGCCGACGGCCGTGGAGATGCCCCAGCTGCGCTCTGCTGTCTGCCGTGGTGAACTGGGCTCGGACACCATCACCACCACCCCACCCCCCTCCCCACTGGGTGAAAAGTTTGGTTAACATGGCGACACAGATTCATTAACAGAGTCAGTGATGGATTTCGTCAGGAGGATTAAAACTCTGCTGCTGTGTTAAAGGTAAATCAGGGTCCTCCAGCTGACGGGGTTAGGGTTAGGGTTAGGGTTAGGCTTAGGGGTGCAGCGGAGTCAGCAGCCTGCTGGCCATAAAAAGCATGACCAAGGGATGAGAGAAAGTACTTGTGAGCCTCGCGACTTTGCTGTGGCATGTAATTAGGTGAAATTACTGAAATCACAGCAGTGGGTGAGGTACACTTACAGATAAGCAGATGGATAGAAAACATTGTGGATGAATCCGTCGCAGTGCTGGAGTCTGTCATGTTAGAAGATATCATTAGAGTGCAGTGTTTGTCTTCTGTTTCCTGATTGTTCTAAAAGGAGTTGTTTTAACGTCAGCTTTCATCTGAGCCTTAGGCGAGGGTTAATATGTGTCTTTAAGTGTCAAAGGGAGAGTTGCATCTCCCCTGTGAGCGATGAACTTTGTGTGCGTGTGTGTGCCAGCTCACGTCACCACGACAACGTGGTCCATCAGTCCGTCAGTCCAACCCGCATCTCTACATCAGCATTGTGACATCACGGCCCTGATGGCTCCTTGCTCCTCCAGCTGAGTGTGAGTGTGTGCAATTGTGAGAGAAAGCGGAATGTGAATGCAGGCGGGGGATGAGGCCCATGCAGCTGGAGAGAGAGAGGTAGGGAGGGAAAGCGAGGCGAGTTTGCTGAAAAGGTAACCATAGCAACCCTCTCTGCAAAGGCTTGAAGTGGGGGGGGTGAGGACGCCAAGGCAGACGAGGGACATAGCAGGAGAAAGGGGTGGCATGAAGATGGAGACAGGAGGACAGAGCGGGAGAGAGGAAAGGCATGGAGATGGAGACAGAGGAGGACAGAGCCGGAGAGAGGAAAGGCATGGAGATGGAGACAGAGGAGGACAGAGCGGGAGAGAGGAAAGGCATGGAGATGGAGACAGAGGAGGACAGAGCGGGAGAGAGGAAAGGCATGGAGATGGAGACAGAG